CGCCCGCCGGGCGCGGCCGAGCCCGGGCGGCACAAGGCCCCGTCGGGCAAGAAGACGAAGGCGATCCGCAAGCTGACCTTCGAGGACGAGGTGACCACCTCGCCCGTGCTGGGGCTGCGCATCAAGGAGGGTCCCGTGGAGGCGCCGGCCAAGGCGCGGGGCGGCTGCGCCCGCCCGCTGGGCGAGTTCATCTGCCAGCTCTGCAAGGAGGAGTACGGGGACCCCTTCGCGCTGGCGCAGCACCGCTGCTCCCGCATCGTCCGGGTGGAGTACCGCTGCCCCGAGTGCGACAAGGTCTTCTCCTGCCCCGCCAACCTCGCCTCCCACCGCCGCTGGCACAAGCCGCGCCCGCCCGCCGCCAAGGGTGGCCCCGAGGCGAGCCGGGCACCGGCCGCGGCCCCGGGCCCGGCGGAGGAGCCGCCGAAGGAGGCGAGCGGCGGCAGCGGCAGCGAGCGGGACACGCCGAGCCCTGGCGGAGCCTCGGAGGCGGGCTCCGAGGAGGGGCTCTTCGAGTGCCCCCGCTGCTCCAAGCGGTTCCGCCGGCAAGCCTACCTGCGCAAGCACCTGCTGGGGCACACCGCCCCGGCCCCCGCATCCGCACCGGCACCCGCACCGGCCCCCGCGCCCGCCCCCGAGCCCGCTGCCGAGGAGCCGCCCGCCGCCGAGTGCCGCCTCTGCCCCGTCTGCGGGGAGACCTTCCCCAGCAAGAGCAGCCAGGAGCGGCACCTGCGCCTCCTCCACGCCGCCCAGGTCTTCCCCTGCAAGTACTGCCCGGCCACCTTCTACAGCTCGCCCGGCCTCACCCGGCACATCAACAAGTGCCACCCCTCGGAGAACCGGCAGGTCATCCTGCTCCAGGTGCCGCTGCGTCCCGCCTGCTGAGCCGCCCGTGCCTTCCCCGCCGGCCCCGCGCCGCTCCCCCGGGGCCGCCACACGATTAGCTTTAATACGGCTTGCGACCTGCTGGAATCTGGCTTTACACTTACCTTCCCGGGGTCTCTCTCTTCTTTTTTTTCTTTTTTTCTTTTTTTTCTTTTTTTTAAATTTTTTTTTTTTATTTTGTTCCTTCACTCCGGTTTTTATCGATGTGAACAGATCAAACTGCTCGAGAGAATCGAGCATTTCCTTTAGTGTAGCCACAAATGCCTTGACTCTGCTGTTGATGGTCTCCAGAAAATGCTGTAGAAACTGCCTTAACTGTGACATGCCAACTTTCTGTTTCTGTTTGTTTTGCCCTTACTAAGGTAGCTCATGAGTTGACTATCTGTATATGTTGGTTTGAGTAATTATGTTATTTATTCGTTATTTATTTATATTAATTATGAAGATTGATATTATTTGATTGCAGATATTCTAATGTGCTTTTTTTGTCTCACCGCCTGCCATTTCACTGTGCGTTTTAGAAGATCTTTTTTTCTAAAGGGATCTGCTAAAAAGGTTTTAACTTTTATACCTAGAATAACACATGATCTTAACCATTTTATCCCGTGCAACCAACAGCTCTTACTTTTAGATGCAATCTCTTTTTCTACACACATTATTTTCTTAACTGTTAGCTATTTATAGAGTGCTTCGATAGAACTGTTTCAACTGTATAATTATTTACTATTCAAATAAAATATTTTCAAATTCAAGCGTGCCCCCACCCCTCCTGCTTCTCCCTGCCGGGCTGGCCCTGAGGGCTCGGGGGGCTGGGACCCAGCCCCGCAGTGCAGCTGGCAGGGAGCCTCCATCGGCACCAGCCTGCTCCGCACCGTTTGATGAGATTAATTAAAAAGGAATTACCCAGAGGAGGAGAGCAGGGTGTGGCGTGGCCACCCTGGGAAGGCTGCCCTGCTGAGCAAGGGGTGCCCTGGCTGTGGGCTGGAGCCCCAGCCCTGCCCCTGTCACAGCTGGCACCGGGCACAGCCAGCCCTGTGCTCTGCTGCTGGGGACAGCCAGGGAGGAGCTGCCAGGGACCTTCTCTGGAACGTGTTGCAGGGAGAACTCGAGGAAGGGCAGCACTTATGAGTGGAGAACTTGGAGCTATCCTTGTCTGGGAGGGCCGTGCTGTGTGCTGGGTGGCTGCCCCACGTGCTGGGCACCGAGGTGTGGGGTTCAGGGGCTCGGTGGAGCAGCGGCATCCTGCTTTGGCTGTGAGCTGTGAAGCCTGGCACATGGAATGCCAGGCGTCTGTGTGCCTCCTGGCAGGGCTGGAGTCTGCTCCTGCCTGATCCCTCGGCCCTGCTGTGGGATTTCTGCAGCATCCTTCAACAAGCATATATATATATATAGGTAGCTCTTCAGGGCTTGTGTCTGTATGTGGGAATCGCAGGGGTTTGGTCAGAAAGCAGTTCCGTAAGTTTTTTAGTGAAAAGTGTTGTAGTATCTGTGTAAGTGGGGAAGGTGTGTGCTGGGTCTGTGACACCCCTCTCCCAGGCAGCTGTTGCAGTGCACCTGTACGATCTCCCCCTTTGCCAGCAGGAGAAGCCATGGAGCCAGCTCCATGGTGTGTGGATCTGCTTGGCAGCCCAGCAAATCCCTGCTCCCAGACTGGTGTGTGAAGGGCTGAGCAGCTGCAGGGGCTCAGCATGGGCCTTGGGGCTGCTCCATCTCTGGGATGGCAACACCTTTGAGGCTTTGGCTCACAGGAAGAGGTTTCCAACCTGTTCCTGCCATCTTCTCTCACCTAAAGGCTCCTGCCTGAGACTCGGCTGATTCACTGTGGGAAAGAAGCTTCCTGTAGGGAAGTTTCCCAGGAATCATCTGGGTATTTTTTTGATATAGCAAAGCTTGTAGAGAAAGAAAGTCTTTCTAGAGAAAGAAAGTCTTTCTAGAGAAAGATTTTTTTTTTCTTGTTCAGTCAGGCTAAACAGCACCAGAGCAGGTACACTCCTGCTGTCTTGATTCCTAGGAAACCAACTTGGTTATGCCAGGGCTGACTTCAGGCCTCAGCAAAGCTGTGGTTTTAGCTGTAGATCAATATACTAGAAAAGACCATGGCCCGAGAGACACAGGCAGCAAAACGTGCCTGGCAAGAGGTGTGGTTTTGCTTTTCCTGGCTTCCCTGGCCTCAGAAAGCCCCAGATCCTGGGCTGTCGCAGACGGTGTCGCAGCTGCCCGTGGGCTGGGCTCTCCGCTCCCCAAGGGGACTTTGCCAGCGCACGTGGCCGTCCTCTCGGGCCACTGGACACTGTTTCTAGAGCAATGCCCAGTGCATCCTCACCCCAGAGCTCCATCCACGCCATCACAGCACTGCTCCTGATGAAATCCATGCTCGAAGCCTGTGGCACCAGCAGGCCACAAAACATCAGCTTCATACCAGTGTCCATTTCCTAATCCAAGTAGTCCATGTCTGTCCCTGTAGGAATCAGTTAAAATTTGTTGGGGCCAGAAGAATTTCTCAGGTTTGTAGAACTGTCTTGGTAGCCATTGGCACCAACAATGTATTGTATCTTCTGCTGAGGATTGCAGTGGAAAGCGTGATCAGTGGAGATTCTGTGTTGGGGAGGCATAAGGGGAGGTGACAGTGGAGTACTTTGGAAATGGCTCTGTTCACAGTCATCCTGTAAAAAGGGTGGAATTTGCTTTTGGTGTCACTGGGCTGCAGCAGCCTGGGCAGAGCTACTGAGCCTTTATGTCTGCGGCCCTTCTCCCCTGCCTGCACCGCCGGGTCCTTGTGAGGGTGAGCACCGACTGCCTGAGGGGTTTTTGGAGAGGGTCCTTGTGAGGGTGAGCACCAACTGCCCCGGGGGGTTTTACAGGGAGCCATCCGCATCACCATTTTGCATCTCTTGCCCTCTGATAGTGAAGGGCATCGCGCCACCACGACAGGTCACAAAGCCACCTGCTCACACAAGCCTCCCTTGGGCAGTATTTTGGGGGGGGTCTGTCCCTACCCCTCACCAGCTCCTCCTTTGTGCCGTCCCACTGCCCAGGCCCACAGCACTGGACCTTAGTGGGCTCAGCTCTGCCTCCTCCTCTGTGCCCATGAGACCCCTAAGCCCACCTGTAGCTCAGTGGCTGCACTGGGAGCCCAGTGCCGTGGCAGGACCCGGAGCTCGCCCAGCGCTGCTCACGCAGCTCCTGGGAATGCAGGTGTGGCCTGGTGGGTGCCATGTCCTCACCATCCGGCAGCACGGGCAGCCAGCGCTGTGCAAACAAAGCCTCCTGCTGTCAGCTAACTGATCAATTGCTGATGGCTCTCGGTGCCTCCAACAGGAACAGGTTTGGGCACCACGGAAAACACTGATCTTGCCCCAGATGTGTCGTGGTGGAGGCAGCTGGTGCGTGGGTTGCTCACTCCGTGCACACGGACAGAGGGCTCTGCCTGGTGCACACACCACCGGAGCCTTCCTCCTCTCCGAGCACACTGGAGCCAAATGCTGGTCTGGAATGGATTGTGAGCACACGGAAAGGAGCCAGGGAGGTTAATTACAGGAACCTGCAGGGTCCTGAGAAATGCAGCACGGACTCTGTCCCTGCCCCATGGGCATGGAGCTGGTGAGGAGCTGGGGTGAGCTGCTCCCCCCTGCAGGGGAGGAGCCTCCGCAGCCTGCTTGTCCACTGTAGGTTTTTAGCAATTTTTGGTACCAACGCCCCAGTCCCTCGCAGCCATCAGTGCAGTGGGGCATCCATCAGCTCTCTTGCTGGAAGGACTCCCTGAGAAACATAGCTGGGCACGACCCAAGGTTTTGAGGGGTCCTGCCAGCACCTCCCTGTCTGTTTCTTGGGTGGGTGGTTGGGAGGTGTCCAGGGGTTTGAGGTGAGCCCAGAAACAGGACAGGGATGGGCTTTTGCCTTGGGCTTCAAACCTCTTCCTCACACGAAATGTTTAAAAACATGCGTTGCCGTTAATGAGCTGGGAAATGGCTCATGGAGTCACAGGTGTTTCTGCCCATTCACTGCAGGGCATGTGGTGCCATCAGGTGCCATGGGGTGCTGTGGGGTATTGGTGCTTTGGGCTGGATGGGACAGGAGCTTCCTGAGGTACCCTGGCAGCTCCCCTTGGGTGAAAGACCCGGGCATGTGGGTGCGTCCTGCATATTGCGTTTAAACACCTCAGATCCTTCCATGCAGATAAAAAGCCTCATCAGGGCTTTAAATGGTCTTAATTAAATTTAGTTTACAATCCACATAACAAAGGTCTGCCTCTGGCAACATTTGGTACCTTAATCAGAGAGATGGACGTGCCAGGCTGTCCTGTGATACCGGCTCCGGGCACCTGCAGGCTTGGTCCTTACAAACCGTTCCTGAATCCAAGTGCGGGGCTGCAGGGCCTGGGCACAGCCGGCGCTGCTCTGACTGTGCCCTTCTCCTCCGTGCAGGCAGCGAGGCAGCGAGGCTGGGCAGAGCTGGGCTGGGCAGAGCTGGGCTGGGCAGAGCTGGGCACAGCGGCATCGACGGCGTGGGGAGCTGCGACCCCTCCTCAGAACACACCCTCCTGACACGGTAACGGGGACGTTATTCCCAACAGCCAGGGCTGGTTCAATCCCCTGTTCCTCTTGGAAAAGAACGGCTCTTTTCAAGCACTAATAAAGCCCCTTTGCAGCTCTGAAGGTGAGGGTACGTACCGAGGCTTGCCAGCCTATTTTAGGGCCCGGGGAAGGTGACTGACAGGGAGGATTTAAAGCAGAGCAGAGGCTCTGCCGGTGCTGCAGTGGGTGCTGGGCCAGGGCCAGGGGAGAGAAGGGACATGGCTTGGCTGCAGATCAGAACAGGTTCTGCTTCCTCAGGGTACGGGACCACGGTGTTGTTTTATTATCTCATTTTACAGTTTTTCTTACTAAATTGCCTGTATTGCAACACCAGTGCAAAGAGAAATGTGAGGAAAATGCTGTACAGCTGGGGGGGCTGAGCTGGGAGGTTTTTGTTTAGTTATATGCACACAGAAGAAATTCAGAATTTATTACATACAATACATTATATTTTATATTTGCCCCATCCATGGAAATGTTCCGGGCCAGGTTGGATGGGGCTTGGAGCAACCAGGTCTAGCAGAAGGTGCCCCTGCCCATGGCAAGGGAGTGGAACAAGATGGGCTTTAAGGTCCCTTCAGAATCAGAGATTCTGTGATGAAGTAAATATAAACAATATATTCCTTTTATAGCAGTATACCCTATAATCTATAAAGGTGTACTTCAGAATATGTAGTCCAGTGTATATTACACGCATTATATCAATGCATATTATATTATACAACATATACTGATGTATAATGTCTGGTTTATGTTGTCTATCAGACAATGCATATTAGAAAACATTATGTCCAGTACATAATATCATATATGCATTACAGATAATTAGTGCTACGTTGCCAGTATTGCTGTAATGAAACACCACTGTCTTACAGAATGTTTCCTCAGCTCTGCAGCCACAGTCTGTGTGCTGTGGAGGACAGAGTGCTCTGCACAGTGCACAGGGGGTGTGCAGGTGCACACACATATGCACAGCTGGCATATGCACCATACCTGCATGTCAGACATGACCTAAAATAGTATTATTTATTGTATGTACATAGTGCATTGAATATTCCGTGATGCACATTATATGTGTGCAAAATATTGAATCGTGTATGATATTACACGTTCTTTATGGAATGCTATATAGGATTCACATGTTGCTGATGTGATTTACACAATTTTCTTATGCAGTATGCTGTTATTTAGAATGTACATATATATGCACACAATATTACAGTTCGTATAGTAATGTTGTATTTTATGCAGTGCTATGTACAGATGGCTACATTCTATGCCAGGGATGTGTGCATATATAGATATATGCATATATAATGTATATGCAATATGTCGTATATACGTAACCTTAACCCCCTATTTTGATAAAATTGTTAAATTTATACTGAATATCAATATTCTAAAACAAGTCTTAATAAGATAAAATATATAGTGCATATATGGTATAATACATTGTATGTTATATAATGCATATCACATTACATAACTTGTATTATACGTAGATTATAGATTATAGATTGCATGTATTATGCTTAATGTAATAGGGTATACACATTGTATCTGTGTGTATTTGGTAGCTATAATATATTCACTATCCAGTTTAAACATATAGACATACACAATGTAAATTGTTAGATACATAATTAAACATACTATAGCACATCACATATAGATCATGAGATACATAATGTTACATATAGAGAGAGCACATTAACAGATGTAGAAATAAGATAATACACATGAACATGGTAGGCATCCTCCTAAGGCTGGAAAAGAGTGGATTTAGATGGGATATTGTGAGGAAATTCTTGGCTTTGAGGGTAGGGAGGTGCCCTGGCACAGGTTGCCCAGAGAAGCTGTGGCTGCCCCCTCCCTACAAGTGTCCAAGGCCAGGTTGAAGCAACCTGGTGGAAGGTGTCCCTGCCCATGGCAGGGTGTGGAATGGAATGGGCTTTAAGGTCCCTTCCCACCCAAACCATTCTGCGATCCCACAGTAAGTATAAACTAGTTATATATTATTTTATTTAACTTTGTTTTCATAATTATTATTAATGTCATTTTTGTGCCTGCTGCCGCAGGTGGTGGGGCTGGGGGTGCCTCGGCCCCATGTTCCTGCCCCGTGCTGTGCTGGGCTGGCTCTGTGCTGCCCTGTGCCCGCCTGCTGACAGGGGATGGGTCCCCACGGCTGTGCCAGCCCCCATCCTGGGGTGCACAGGCACCACCCGGCCCAGGGATGCCAGTGCAGTGACTGAGCACTGTGACCCCGTGTCCATCTCCCGCCTCCTCTCCAGTTCCACAGGAGGGTGGCAGGTGCTGGGCCTGGGACAGGGATCCTCCTCAGCAAAGGTGGGTGGGAGCCAGGTTCCCAAGGACAGTTATTTCTGCAAAGGGAGCCTCATCTGGAGCCAGCTGCAGTGACTCTACACCCTACCTTTCTGACGAGAGCACCTGAAAGCAATTGAGGAGAGAACTTTGTTGTCTCTCTTCAGCAAAGGAACAGAGAATCCAAGTGTCTTTTCTGACACTGCATGTGCAGCCCCCTGCATTTCCTTAAGGAATATCTCAATAGAGTAGAAAATCACCATTAGAAACATCTTGTGTTTAATGCTGATGCAAGTGGCTGGGCCACAGGGGATTGCAGGGAAGCAGGTTATGGACAGTGGCCTCTGAGGGTCCCCGAGGATCGATCATTGTGCTCAGCAACCGCTGAGCCCCCTCAGCACCGTGGGAAGGGCCGGGCTGGCAGGAGGTGCCCACCCTGCAGGGGTGGCAAACGGCACTGCTGCCGCGTGGGGCCCTGTGGGGCGAGCGGAGGTGTGACCGTGTCCAGTGCCTGCGTCAGTCACGGTGTGGCACGAACACCCCACGAGCACTCGAGCCTGGAAACGCCGTTGCTGGTTCCACACCAGGCAGCCGTTCCTGCAGCCGCAGCCTCGGTGCTGAGGGATGGCAGAGTTTGTGCCGTCACTGCACTGTGTCCCTCAGTGACCCTTCCTGCTCCGTGTGAGCCAGCCCTGCACACCCACGGGCCCAGGCAGCTCCACACGGCACCCTCACGGTCAGGAGCCACCACCCCCTCCCCAGAGGCAGAGCTGAGTGCCAGACCGGACCCAACACCTCCCACCCACCCGGCTGCTGCACACACCACCCAGGTACGCCCTTCTATTGCTCTGTGGGGACATTCATTGTGAGCAAAGATTTATTAAGTTTGTGAGGGGTAACAGAGCAGCTTTGTCATCCACGTCAGGGTGCAAAACCACAGCTGAGTTTATACAAATTAACAGGCTTTTGACATCAGGAAAACACTCTTTCATCAGTGTTTTAATTTCTCCCTGAATTAGAGATGCATATTGCTCTAACAAGAAATGGCTCCTTACTCAGAAGGATGCCTTTGAAATTGTTTCAGACCAGCTATTGGATAACTAAGGGTCAGACAGCCCTGCCTGTCCAGCCCTGAAAGTAAAATAAATTAAAATACACCTTTTATTTTCTAAGTTCCTTCAACAACACAAAAACAGTAGAAAGCAAAACCCAAATGTGAGGCAGAAAATCAAACCAGCCATCCAAGCCCCAAGTGACAGAGGCTCCTTCCTGCAGCTGTGCTGGGTGGGTTCCCGTCAGCTCCACTGGTTCTGGCTCCTGCTCCCGGGGCACTGGGGCCTGGGCACAGATCCCACAGTGGAGCACAGAGCCACCTGGGCACCACTGGCTGTGGCTGGAACAGCCTCCTGCGTGCACAGCGTGGTCCTGGGCTGGCAGACGGACAGACAGACGTAACACCAGGTACAAGTGCAAAAACAAATGGGGTCCAGTGGGGCATTTCCCAAAAATGCAATCCCTTCACTTAAAGCAACTCCCATTCCATTGGGAGGTGTGCGTGGGAGTATCCAGGAGCTACCCAACACCAGCAGGACATGGATCCATGGCTGTGGGATCTCAGACTTCTGTTGTTTTTATAACACTGGGGATTTACCTACAAAAATTGTCACCCCTAGAAACCTACCACATGTGGAGACCAAAACACATCACCTACTGACAACATGAGCTCTGCTCACTACACCAGGTGCCAGGAGGACACTGCACGTCCTCAAAAGCCTTCAGATGTGCTGTCCTCTGGCTAGAGATGGGTCACAGCCTGCTGCCCTGCTGGGACACAGTGAAGGGGTTACCCAGTTCTTCACTCCATGCTGGGGAGGGTCGTGGCAGGAGTGTGGCTTTTGTGTTCTAGGGAGTGGTTCAGTGCACAGCCATCACACGCCATGGAGGGGCCACAGTGCTCCTGCAGTGGGACAGCACAGGGAGAGCAGGGACAGCACAGACTGGAGAGCTGCTCCCTCTTCCACCTGTGCTCCCAAGGGGAACATGTGCTACCTGGCTAGTCACAGGAAAACCTCTATTAGACAGAATTCCCTAATGCACAGGTAAGTGCTGCATGGAATGACTGAAGCGATGCTCTAAGGCTACATTGGATAACTGGCTTCAGTGCTGGTTCATGACCTGTAGCTGTGGCACCAGCACCTGTGCCCAGGGGCTTGGGGCCCTTGCTCAGCCAGTGACAGCACCTGATCACCAGCCACATCTGTCCCGGTCAGGGAACGGCAGTTTTACAGAGCAAAGCCCTCGTCCATCCCCTTCCAGACGAGCTCCCCCCAAAGTGCCCGTTCTGTCGCTCCCCTGGCCGGAGCTCTGTGTCCCGGAGCTCAGCTGGAAGCCTTGCTGAGAGCGCTGGCGGAGCGGCGGAGCTTCCCGGAGACTCTGCTCCTGGAGGCACGTGGCAGCGTGGGCGAGGGCGGCTCCGCCAGCTCGATGCCGATGGTGACAGTGAGGTCAGCGCTTGCACTTGTGGTGAGGCAGCCTGGAACACAGAGCGGGCAGGGAAAAAACAGGTCAGGACAAAAGAGCCTGTGTGCCTTGGAATAACTACATGGCACAGCCCCTCCCCTCTTCCCAGTTCCTCCTGGGCATCACTCAGGTGAACCTGACATTTACAGGAGGAATTTGGCCAGGCACCTGAGGAACTGCGATATACTGCACTTCCTGAAGAAATCAGGGATTTCTCTTTGCCAGCTCTCACAAGTGAGAAGCAGCCAGGCTGTGACAGGCCTCAGTGCCCAGGTGAGCGGTGAGGCCCCCAGCACCAGCCCCTTTGGGTCTGCACAGCCCCCAGTGGCTCCCAGTGCCGCAGCAGCCCCATGGGACGGGGGGAGGATACTCCCATCCTGCTCACTTGAAGCTCCAGCAAACCCACATACAATAGTTCTGTGTGGGTTATATAAAATTGTTTTTTGCTGTGTGTCACTAACAGCTCTTGTGTATTCACTCTGTTACAGGGAGCTGGAAACGAGCTTCCCCAGCGTGAGGACTCACAAAACTCCCTGGAAGATGTCTGGTGTCTCTCATAAAAAAACCCTAAAGAATCACGATTTCTTCCAATTTCACTACGTGACAGGACACCAGGTACCCTCATTACTGGTGGCTCACCCTAGAAGGGTCTCTGGGAGCCTGGAGGCTATGGGGTGTAACCTGGGGTTACACTTTGTTGTTCTACAGCCTGGAGTTCCACCTCATTTATTCCCCATAGGCCAGTACAACCAGAGGCTCGGGCTGGCTGAGTGGGAGCAGGTGAACACAGGGCCTTTAACTAAGACACAAATGACCAAAGCCAGGTGCAGCTGCTCTCAAGGACACACCCTGCCCTGCTCCTGCTGCTGGGGGTCTGACCTGTCCCAAGGTGCTTCCTGGAGGAACACCATTTCATCAGCTCCCTTGGGGAACAGTATTTTTAAACCGTGTTGCAATTCTCTCCCTAAGAGTAAACACAAGTTTTTTCCTACAGGTGAGAGGGAAGAACAGCCTTGCAGCCAGGTGAGGAGGGTGGAGGGAGGCTCTAAGCCCACACCAAAGGCCAGTGCCACTGCCACTCCCTCTGAACTCCAGAGGGATGGTTGTGTTTGGCAGCACAGACCTATTTCCAGTTCAACACCTGGCTCTGTTCTCTGCCTGTGCCTTTATTTGCTGTTAGTTCCTGTGCCTGGCCAGTCCAGGGCTCTTTAATCCTCACCTTTCCTAGCCCGGGTGACTCCCAGACATGCACAAAACACCCCAAAGCCTGGGCAGGGCCTTGGCTGAGCTGCCCGTCGGGCACAGGTGAGCAGGGCAAGCTTTGCCCTCCTGGACAGGTGGGGATGAGGCCGTGGGTCAGTGCGGTGGCAGGATGAGCCCTGTCCCAGGACAAAGACCCACAGGGGCTCTGCTGCGCTTTCAACACGAGGGGTGACCTGTTCTGCTTCAGCAGCTCTGGGTTATTTGAGTAACTCAAAGCAGGAGTGCAACAGCAGCAGCCAAACCCAAAGTGTGAGCCCCCTCAGCCAGCCTACAGCCCCCATCTGCATCTTAAAGAAAGCTATTACTTACCAGATTGGTACTTCAACACAACTGACTGAGGGGAAATAACACATTTTAAAAAGGTGGAAAATGTGACTTAGCCTGTAAAGGCATTTTCTGTGAAAAATTCGGAGCTGTCAGTTTTGGATTAAAAACAAAACCTGTGGTGCTGCTGGCCGGGGAGAAACGTGTGGGGGAGGGAAGGGCTGCGAGGGAGGTGTCGTACTTGACATTCCTGCAGTGAGGCAGAATGGCAGATGGTCAAAATAGTGCTGCTTTCCCCAAATGGACGAGCTGAAGCAACGCTCATGTGAGGGCTGAACAATGGCTGATGCCTGTGACTGGGGGACAGGTGGGGCTGTGGCCAGGCACACCTAGGCCAGGAGGACCTGCAGCACATCCGCCTTGGAGCCGGAGCATTCTGACAGTCCCAGCTTCCTTCTGACACGTCCCGAGCTCTGCAGCCCACCTTGCAGCTCCCTGAAAGCGCCGTGATTGATGGGGAGGTGGCAGCTGCGCAGTGAGCAAGTGACAACCACTCTGGAGAAAGGCTCCCATACCCAGTGTCCCCATTCCCCTCGTAGGCTGTCTGGCACAGGCTCTAATGACTTGGCCGCCTTGCCAGGGGAGCTGCAGAGTCGGAGAGGGGGCTCTGTGCGCTCGGCTGTGCCCACGGTCGGCAGTGGGTTGGGGTTGGGATGCTCCTGTGCTATGGAGGAGGGTGTTTGCTCTCTCACTGTTGTTTGTTTGGGAGTGTGCCTGGGCAATGTGAAATTACCAGCAGTGAAAACCAAACAGCAGCTTGTAAATACAAAACAGTAAATGATAAGGAAACCACAAACACCAGTTTCTGACTCTCATGGACCAGTGGAGCCCTTAAAATTCAGAACTCATCCAAACAAGTGGAATTTACACAGAGGGAAAAAAGCTGCCCGGCAGCTGCTCCCTGCCTGTCGCACGGGTGAACATGGTGGCAGGGGCAGCCCCACACAGCTCTGTGGGCACTGGGGACAGTGGCCAGCGTGGCTCCTGGCTCAGTGCCCGTGGCTGTCCCATCCCTGGTCACACACACCACCAGGCCCTTCCCTCGGTGCCCGTGTCCCTGTGCCCAGCAGCAGCCGCCGGGGCAGCGGGGACCACGTGGGGCTCGGGGCGCGCAGAGCCAGAGCGGGCAGGGACAGCCAGAGACAGACCCGGAGGGCCCCAGAGCCACCACGGCCGCACACTGAGCAGAGGAGGAAGAGGAGGAGGAGGAGAGCTGTTAGAGGTGAAGCACAGCGGCAGCAGCAGAGGGGCCTGCGGGAAGCGTCGCTCTTACCTGCGGCCATTAACGAGCGTTACACACTCTAATCTAAAGGGAGAGAACACAAAACCGTGTCAGTGCAGGAGCAGCACACCCAGGACCCGCTGTGCCAGCCTGGCACAGCAGACACCGGCACACGCTGGGCACCAGCGGAGGGGCAGCTCAGGAAGGAGAGTTCCCCTCAGCCCTCGGGGACCTGGAGAAACGGGGACCCACACGCTTCCTTCTCGGGTCTGTGGATTGAAACAGTCAAGGGAGGGAATGCTGGCAAAAATGGGAATGAATAACCATTGCACTTCAGCTTTTGCCAAACAAGCTGCCATGGGACGGTGGGTGCAGCTGCCTCGGCTCCACCTCCAGCACCGTTGCTGGTCACACCATGTCAAACTGTGTAAGATTTGAGGCTTCACAGAGACCTAAACCACTGGGACACTGCAGGCAGGTTAAAACCCCAGGAAATGAGCAGTGTAGGGCCTCTTACAGGTGAGGCCTGGTGAGGGAGGCTTAAGCTTTTAAAATAAGTTCTTTGCAGGAGGGGATTAGAAATGGAGTTAGGAATATAGATAAAAACACACTTTAAATGAAATTGTTTTGTGGGAAGCTAGAGAGAAATGGCTTATTGCATCTCAAATCCACCAGAGAGAACAAACCTCATTTCTCATGCCCTGCCTTGCCAGGGCAGGTGCTCTAGGAATGACCTTTCAGCCATTTCTCTCCTCCTGAAGTAGCTGAACGCCCCTGAAAGCAAGGGTGGGTCTCCATGACCTGTAAGGATCCCGAAGCCTTGTATTTGAGAAGACCCATGAAGTTGTCACATGGGCTGTGACCTGTTCCAGCCCCCCATTAACCTGTCAGCCAGGACAGGGCTGTGGAAATCTTTGTTTTCCTTCCTAGTAAATGTGAAGGTCAGAAAATTCCAGAGAGAATCACTGTAGTAAATCTGCCCAGTGTTCCTGCTTCCCACTTCTAAGGACAGGCTCAAAGTACACTGTAGGCAGCATCCTGAGCCTGCGTGGAAGAAATCATCGATAACTGAAGCAGTGGCTGTGCTAATCAAACACGTCCTGCAGTGCCTTGGAAAGCTCTAAGTGAAGCAGTAAGAGAATCTCAAACTACAGGTTAATCAGGGGCAGAATCACCCCTAAAATAGCATTCACAGTTTCCAGGAGGGAGTGCCTGGCACCGTCAAGGCGGTTTGAGGGATTTGGAAATAAACCCTAAATGTACACATTGAAGTTTAATTAGTCAGGACTTGGAGCAGCCGCTAATTAGTTCTGCACGGGTTGGCCTCAACCTCAGCCAGGGGGAGCGTTGGGGGTTTTGGGGGTGTCACAGGTGGGGCAGCCCAAGCCCCTGGCCCGTGGCCACAGGACAGCTCTGCTCCAGCTCTGCTCTGGCTCTCCACGGCCACGAGCCGGTGCCTCAGTGCAGAGGGAAAATGCAAAGAGGCCACATTGCCCGGAGCCTTCTCCGAGCTGACAGCTCGAGCAGCTGGAGCTGTCACCCGGCAGGAGAGATGGGCCTGTCAAGCTCATATTTTCTCCCATCCCAGCACTGATTGCTTGGAGAAACCCTCTCTCTCTGCCTCCTCTCCCGGAGATCGTAGCTGGGGGAGCTCCCTCTGAGCCAATCAATTACATGGAAAAGGCAGGGGCCCAGGCTGAGAGCCCTAATGTGCCCCTTCCCTGCTGGAGATCCCGAGGGAACGCCAGGCTTGAGGGAGAAGCAGCTCCAGCACCTGCCCTGCCTCGGGGACAGGTCGGCACAGGGCACAGGGAAAACGACCCCTGTGCCCAGAGCAGGCGGCCGCTGCTTTGCAGGGAGCTGCAAAGGAAGGATGCAACTTCCCTAGGGCTCTGCAGGGATCCAGACCCTGTGGAGCCAGGCCTGTTCAGCCACAGGAGCTACGGGGGGACAGAGCTGCTGCCTCAACAATTCATGGTAACTGTGACACTGCTCTGTTTAATGGCAGACCATTCCTGCCCCTCACAGGGACACTAAGGTGGCAGCTCTGTGGATGAGGGCAGGAAAGCCACGGAGGGAACACTGGTAACAGAGAGCACAGGGGCAAGGAGCAGCTCCTGAATCTGCCCCTGAGGGCAGCCCAGCAGCGGCTGGGACAGAGGCTCCGGTCTGCTCAGGATGTGGAGCTACCTGGATTAAACAGACAGGGAAAGCCAGACAGGTCCCTGCACCTCCTCCTGAATACTCACAGGGAAGGAGGAGAAGAGAAAGCCAAATCCTGCCTCCTGTGGTAACTCGTTCTGGCTCCCCTGCTCCACCTCCCTCAGCTTTTTCTCTTTGTTCACTGCCTGGACAACCTGCACCAGGGCAGCACCTGAGTTCCATCTCACCTGCTGAGCACGAGCTCCGTGCTAACGACTCAATTCCCTGTCCTTCCTCCTACATCGCAGGGACCCGTCCCGGACCAGAGAGGGCTGGGCACAGAGGATGGAGCCCACAGCTGCCCCTGGCAGACAGTGCCAGCGCTGCCTCCTCTCCTGGCGTCAGCAGCTGAGCTGAGGCTCCGAGCAGCCAGGACAGTCGGGAATTTCCTGAGTCCCAGGTACTAGAAATTAATTGTTCCATTTCAGGCAACACTGACACATGGATCAAACCCGACCTCAGCACATGCCACACGTGCTGTGGTATCGTGGCACAGCTACTCACTTTCAGATGTGTGTTTCTTTACTATTCCCCAAAACAGGCAGAAATATTATATATACAGAACCCAGAGAGACTTTTGTTCCACCTGTACACAGATCTGACAAAACACCCTACAAGGAAAACACCTTTTTTCAAGGAAAAAGATAAAAGCACAAAAAACCCAAAGAAGTAAAAAACAAAACCAGAAAAACCACACCAAAGCAAAAGGAATCCTGGCTCATTGTTACAAAGGAGCATCAGTCTGGTTAACGCAATAGTTACTCTGGGTTTGGTTTTGTTTCTGTCAAAAATACATTTTAAATCTAGATGTCAAATTGAAATATTCCTTTCGCTTTAAAGTGGGAAAGATAAAGCTCAGCACTGACCAAAAAGTGGTTTAAAATAAACCAGATCTGGTTCCTTGTACATTCAAGTGTTTTCTACAGGAACTTTATGCATGTAAAAGTCTGGAGACAAAAGAAAAGCATGTGTCACCTTTACAACAAAAAGCCTGCAAAATCTCGGTTTTATGTAAATCAGCAGGCAGGCTCCCGAGGCTTTAAAACCAGGGAATGCTGAAAACCTCTATAGTTCCTCAACTCAAGTGTTGCTCCTGGGCAATGCCATAATATTCATTAAAGAATCCATTTATCAACAGATACCACATGTCTGAGTTTTCCAGCACAGTTTTCCTGACACTCCACTGAAAAGGATGCTTTAAAAACATTAAGCTGGAACACAAGAATCCAGGATGCTTTGCCTGCCCATTCCACAATATCCATTAGCAACTAAAAAAGCCAAGATTTACACTATATCCTCCCTGATAACGTTGAGCATTGTGCTTTATTTTCCAAGTCATTAGCATGCACAAGAATGACCTCATGGTGAACAGATGCACTTGGATATGGCAGTGATTAGATCAGTCCTCTCAGCAGTCAAGTGTGCCCGTTCCCATTAACCCCTGGAGTGCCAACGGCAGCGCTGCAGCTCCGGGGCTCCCTTCAAACAGAAACCTGCCCTGCGAGTACAAACCCCTCGCTCAGAATCCTCCCATGGTGGGCAAGCTATGATTAGGCAGTTACCCTGGAATACCTGGCCACTTCCACTTCCTAAGGGATAACACCACACTTCTGGCTGCTGATCTTACACCAAAAAACCCCCAAGCCCAAGGCAGCCCTTTGAGCCACAGAGGCAAAGTTGGGGTGCTGCTCTGTTCTGTGTGTGCCCACTTCAGCTTCACCATTTTTTTAAAGAACACACAAGTGTTTTGTTGAATAACTGTTTCTGGTTTTGGCTGAGGGAGCAAGAACAGCAGCTTAAAGCCCGTCCTCTAAAAGGAGAGAAATCTGCAGAGGGAAAGGATGAGAATAATTCAATAGTGTTGGATTATGGAGGATTTCCTGGGCTGCCTCTCAGACCCAGCCTAATTAAAATACAGCATGTAATGCACCAGTTTAACAACAAAGGGCCGTATTCCCAGCTTTTGTTCCTAATCTGCACATCCCCTAAATGAGTTCAGGGATGGCCATTCTGCCTACCCGGCTGCTTTCAGCGCTGAAGATAGCCAGGGCTATCTGTGATCCTGCAATAGCCAGGGCTATCTGTGATCCTGCAATAGCCAGGGCTATCTGTGATCCTGCAATAGCCAGGGCTATCTGTGAGCCAGGCAGGGAGTTTAAGGCTCCGTGCCTGGGAACAGCAAAGGAGATCAGCTGGATGATTTTCCTGCAGAAAATGCAGCACCTGCAAGACTGTTGGTGACAGGGAGACTAATCCAGGGCAGGAAACCCACATCTGACCTGAGTGTGGGGGATGCATCCCCCGGGGCAGCATCAGAAAATGCAAAAACATGCAGTTTAAATCATTAGATCACGGGTAGCAACACCCCAGTGATGTGTGTCAGCAAGAGCTACGTGTTCAATTCATTTAATGGTCCTGATTTCTTCTTATGACTACTGAGAACAAGCTTCATTTTAATAAAAAGCACACTTACTCCTTGACCTTTCTGCTGCACACATGTATTCGCAGTGCTGACAGCACCACACTTGAGTGGCATTAAGAATCAGATCAGATGAGAATTAATCTTAAATTTACCTGAGGAGTTTACGCTCGGCAGGGTTAGCGGCACCAGCTGGCTTGTCACCTGTGCCAGCTCCATGAATCCCACAGAATCATCAAGGCTGGGAGAGATCTTCAAGATCATCAAATCCAGCCACCAACCCAGCACCACCATCATCACCCCTAAACCACATCCCCAAGTGCCACATTCAGACACCTTCTGAACACCTTTGGAGGCAGTGACTCCAGCACCTTCCTGGGCAGCCTGTGCCAGTGCCTGACTACCTTCTCAGGGAATTTTTTTTTTTTCATTTATTGCTCCCTGATTTCAGAATAGAAATTCCCTTTTTACATGGAGAAAAATACCATCCGTGTTCCTAAGCAGCACACAGGTGATTCCTGCAGGTGTTAGACAGGTGGGTCTGTGCCTGGAGCAGGACTGCCTGCCTGTGGCACAGGCTGCATGCTGGGAAACAGCTCCTGAGCTGCCAGGGCTGCATCCAGCCTCCCTTCCAACTGCCAGGGAGCATCTGATGGAAAACACATCCCGATGGCCATGGCTGACACTGCCCTTGCTCATCACTGACTAAATATGCAGGTGAATCAGTAGGTAATGTGAGGAGACTCTCTGAAGCAGAGATTCTGACACCAGAAGTCATGGCCAGCCTCCAGTTCATGAGCAAGAAATTAATTCTGAGGCTCAGAAGTCCAAAAACTGGGACCTGACTGGGGCAGGTTTTACAATTAAAAGCAATTAAAATAATGAAACTATAAAACCACATCCAGGGTGCTCATGATTTAGCAGTGTTCTGAAAACCTCAGCTATTGGGAAACACTTTAACCAGGTCTGGCAAACACAGCATATCCCAGCCTTCAGAGAGCGGCACTGCCGAGGGATCTGCCCCGTCAGACCACATTTGTACAAAACCAGAGCACTGCGTGCCCTAAAAAACATGAAAACGAGACACAATTATGCACAGAGCAAAACATTTAAAATAGATCAATATATCTACGTTTCTATTTGCTGATATGTCAACAGATAAACGATTCAAGTGCTAACGACCAACCCTGGGCACGCGCTGTGCTCCTATTGAAACGGGCGATTTTTTTGTCTCAGACTTTTGGCAGAGTGTATAAAAGAATTTAATGCACAGCTGTTCTACTTTTTAATGTAGGAAACATTAATCAAAGCTTTAAGTTATAAGCTTTCCTAGCGTTGTTTAGTATTCCAGTTCAGCAGAGATCAATAGATCCATCCCGTGTTCCCTGACGCCTCTCCAGGACGCAGAGGCGCGATTATGTAAATGGCCCCGGCTCCCTCCCCTCCTGCCAGCGCTTATCTCCAAAGCCTTCTGCCTGCTGCTCCTGGCCACCACTGCCCGGCCCGCACAGGCCTCTTATCTCCTCACAAAGCTCCGAGCGCGCCAGGACCGGAGCCAGGAACACTAGACAATGCTGCACGGCTGGTTTTATTCCTAAGTGATTTATTCTAGCAAATTTAATTTCTTCCTTCAATGTTTCAGTTTAGATGGAAGATATCTGCTAACAAGTCAGGCTAAAGAGAAATAGAGCAGATGTCCCGCAACGTTTGTACAAGTTGGAAATAATCTATTCAGCAATCCAAAAGAGAAGCAGGGAATGATTAGAAAGTGCCTGTGTCACCCTATGAGTGTCAACAATGGATTAAGGAATCTTTGTTAGAGAGTCCAGCACACAGTGACAGATACTTTCTGGAGGCTGGAAAAAACACATCTTGAGGGCACTAGAAATCTGCATTTCAGAGCAAAAGATCTCTTTCAGAAGAGGTTCACTTAAACTCAATGAACCGTCCAGGCAGCGATTAGTACCTCACTGACCACACACTAACCTAAATCTCCACAGGGCACACGAGGAATAAATGCCCAGAGTTTGGCACTGCGTTGTCACCTCTCAGGAGGGCTGATGAATGATGAGCACTGATGTGTGTGTATACACCCCCCCCCCATATATCCACACATCCATTAAAGCCCCCAAAGAGGCTCCAGGCCAGGTGCTGGAGGGCAGCCTGCAGTGTGCTTGTCTGCATTGAAGGGACGCGCCCGCATCCCGCCCGCCGCTGTGATTCCCTAACAGCACCCCGTTCCTGCGTTTCTTGTGCATTAATCCCTGACCCTGGTAGCTCAGCAGCATAATCCCCATTTAGCATTAGCAGCAGCTTCCCCTGCGAGGAACTATTTTTGATAAGTGAGCCCCAATTCAGGCCTCGCTTTTGAACAACATATTCCCAGCTCAGCAAGAACCCGGAGTCCTGAATGAGCTGGAGCCCATCACTGCAAGAAAGTTCATTAACCTCGCCGGAGTCGGGGGTTAACAGGATAGCTGAAGAAAGGAGCAGACTGAATAGCTCTGATGCAAAACAAATTAAAATGAATGTCATCATTCCTTTTGATATTCATTAGTTGATTCAGGGGAAGAATGGTCTTCTTAAATTTGCAAGCATTTATCTACAAAAAACAGGTGTACATCTGCTGCTCAAGTGCTTCTTGGGGCTACAGAGAAGAATAACGTGCAGAGACTCACCAGTTCCACCGAGGGAGTAGCTGGGAGAGGGAGAAAAGACCTGAGCGGCAAAATCCTCAAACGTCATCACCTCTTTGTGGTTCTGGATGATGGCTTCGAGGTACAGAGCTCTCTCCTCGTAGCTGCGGTGGCCCCGTTAAGGAAACGCGTGTGCAGAGCTGCAGGCTGTCCCACGGCGTCCCTGAGCACCAGCCCCTCAGCCCCACATCCACGCTGACCAGGCTGCAATGGGTAGGGAACGGGGGGCACCGGAATGGCCCAGCAGTTCTGAACAGGAGCAGTGAGGAGAGGACACCCTTCAGGGCTGGAAATTCAGGGTAACACCTCTGAGCTTCATGACTCAGAAACAGCGACTCGGGAGCTGCCGAGGGCAGGAGCAAACCCCCAGACCGCAGCTTTCCAAACCAGAACCCATTGTCACAGACGGCTGTGGCACTGTGGGAAGCTCCTGGCACACAATATTCCTGTTCCAATGACTAGAAAAGTGACTAGATTGGAGAAACAAGCTATGGGACAGAGGGGATCGACCCCCCCACATTCATTTGATCACTGGACTTCTCAAAAGAAATTAACCACGATAAACACAATTCTGAAAGCGTGACAGTTGTATTTAGGGCAGGTGCTGGAAGGTGCAACCCTATGTATCCCAAAGAAACGATGGACATTGGACAAACCCAGCCCACAACTTGCATGCATTATGGCCTGCATAATGCAGACAACAAAGCGAGCTAACATGGAGACTATTGCCTTTTAATTAAAACTCGGCAACCTGGAACACACAGCATTCAAATGTGTAATCAAAAACCAGTCACCAATAAAACTTACAAGCGTAACAAGCTGAAGCAACTTTCCAGCTGTCTTAATAGGACCCCTGCTTGCGGCAGCCTTTCACAGCGGAGAAAGCAAATCTTCCCCTTTTGTGTGCAGCTTCTGTCTGCTCAGAAGGTGAATCATACACTTCCAATAACAGGATAACGCTTGGGACAAATCTACAATGGGCTGGAGAGCCTCACGTATGACTTTATGAATTAGGGCTTGCAGGAGCCAGGATGACATCTCATTCTCCGTTTCCTCAGTGAAAACAAAAGTTTTCAGCGCCTCATTGTGCTTCTGTTACGGGGAAATGCACTCGAGCTCCACAAGGCTGTTCAGTGGGAGCAAAGGCCAAGCTGAATTTAGAAATTAGGAGCAGGAGAATAACATCAGTGACAACAGAATGCAGGTGAGGGTATTTAGAATTGAAAAGCATTACTAATTAATACTGAAGTGCCATTTGTAACTTGCAGTACATTAACAAAACCACTCTGAAACAGTATTTAAAAAAAAAATATCAGAGTAAAGCAGTGCTTAGAGCCAGGAGACGATGGTCTAGTGTCGACCTTGAGGGGAGTAAGCAAAGCACGTCTTCATTGCACGCGAGTTCCTGCAAGCGTGGTGGCAACAAAAGAAAGAGAAAGAAAAGAAGAATTTTGCTTTTAACGCTTGCAGAGGACGATTGATATGTGATAAATCTTCTTACAAACTTCCCGTGGAAGCCTGGAGAAAGAAAATCAATAGCCAGCATTTCAGCGTTTGCACCTGCTGACAGCGTTATTTGCTCAGTTTTCCTCCCTTCCCCGAAGCCCGGGAGAACACATTCCTGACAGCGCCAGCGCCAGCCCGCGGCGTGCGGGGCTGCCTCCCCATTATGGGCTGAACTCCTGATGACTCTTGTTAATGAATAGGCTGCCAAACTTCCTCGGAGAGGAGGCACACGCCTGGGCCCTATTCTAAAGGGACTGACGGATGCCATTCACTTCTCATTATGGAGATGCTGATTCCTCGGCGCTCGGCTGTTGCCAGGGCCGTGCGGAGCGGGCCGGGCGAGCGCCGGCCGGGAACAGCGGGACGCGGGGGCTGCGCGGCCGTCTGGCCCACAGCCCCTCCGACACGGAGCTGGCACGTGCTGGCGCAGCGGGAGCAGACCCAGGCGTGACAAATTGCTGAAAGGGCTCGGCGACACCGGGGGCTGACGACCACCTGAGCCTGCGGGCCGGCCGGCAGCTCTCGATTCACGGCCGGGGCTGCGCGTGGGCCGCTGCAAACCAGGCGGGGGGACGGCAAAGGCTTTTCATGCTCTGCCTGATAATGCCCTGCTGGGTAATGAACGGCCGCGCTCATCGCGCACATCAGCACACGCGGCCACCGCGGGCACACCGCAGGCTGTGCCGCCTCGGTAAGTGCTACACGGAAAAACACGGCGAGGACACGCCGGCCGGGTTTGCTCTGCACCCTGAAAATGCCTATTGATGAGCTGGACGGTGCCCCTCGCCACACAAAAGACTGGGAAAAACCCCTGGGCCAAACAGCTGGGCAGCTCCAGGAGGGGCAGCTGAGGAACACCACACTGTGCCATGCTGATGCCAAGGTCCGGAGAGCCCTGCGGATCCACAGCGGCTCTGGAGGCGCGCGAGGAGGATCCCAATTCAGCGCCCCCCTTGCAGATTAAAAAGTTAAAAGCAGGGGTCCTGGGGAGGCCGAGTGCACACACTGGCTCCACTCCCCAGCCCTGCCTCGGCTCGGTGCTGCCTGTGTCCCTGCCAGGCTCCCTGGAGCAGGAGGCAGCACGGCAGCTCCCACCATGTGGGCAGTGAGCAGGATGCCCGTGCTCATTTTTACTCACAGCTTAATCAAAAAAGAATTGAGTGACTGCAGGAAAATGAAACTAAACTCCCTGCCATCTCTGTTTCAGTACATTCACAGACTGGGGAAAAAGCTGGGATTCACTAAAATAAAAAGCCAACTAAAATTTTACTGAAGTTTAAGAATTTACATGAATGAGCTGCAAAGAACCCTCTGAAAAACACCTCCATCCTGTTAAAAAAAGCCTCAAGGAGTTTCCTGTTTGTCCCTCTGCAGGAACGTGTCCATCCCAATAATCCCTGGAGCCATACTTCTGTCAGAGCTGCACCACATAAATGTGCTGTGCCTCCAGCCTATGAGCTGGCCCCGAAATGTCCCTGACTTACACACCTTACAACTGACTCTTCCTAACCTGGACTTTGTGTCCCGGCTCCTCTGAGCTTTGGGCAGGTGCCCTGAACACTAAGCTGCGTTTAGATGGAGTGCCACACAAACTGCTGGTTTAAAAATGCAACCCACAGACCAGCAACCCCCCATCCCAGCTCAGGGCAGTGCTCTGGGCTGAGCAGGACCATAAGGGAGGCCCAAGTGCAGCTTTCCTAGAGAAGCCTCAGGGCTCGAGGGCTGCAGGGACACAAATCCGCTGCTGGGGCTGCAGAGGATGGGCTGTGATCTTGAACCCTACCCTGGCGAAAAGCTGGACAGCTGGCAGCCCTGATTAACTAAGCCCCCAGTTATCTGGAGGTTTGGAGCGTCCCCTGAGATCTTCAGATAAATGGAGTCATACCAGACCCTTGAAGGAGCTGATCAAAAGCTCCTTTTTTAATATGTACGGCAATTTGACCCACCCCTCCACGGCTGCATTATTTTACATTTTGCTTCTGCCAAGGCAAAACTCCAGGGCAAAATGTTTAAAACAGGCACAAACAAGGTTTTTTTCATTTCATGTGAAATAATAACATTGAGAGCTATGACAAGGTGTGACTTATTGATCATGAACATATATAAAACTGTGGAGAGCAGGAATTTACCTCCTATTTGAATACAGCAATGAAATCTCAGCATTTGAATATTATGAGCTTTTAGAAGTATTTTATCAGTATATCAATTATTTTAACATTTCAACCACGCAATGAAGGCTGTTTGGAAAAAAACTCCAACGCATTAAAATGTGAACATTACCTATTTTCAATAAACCACAACACCTCATTGCAGCAGCAGGATGACCTGCAAAGTTCTGTGGTGAAACACACAGGACCTTCCAGATGGAGAATGCAAAAGGAGGCAAAAGGCAGAAATTTGTAAATTCACTGGAGAGGCAGGTACTCGGCTCTCACCTACCAGCATCACCTCTACATATTTAACCTCTACAGCACAGAGCCAGTTTCAGACACACGGTTTAAATCATAAAGACTTTGAAAACCCTTCAAAGTCCTTGTCATCTGGGTCCTGCGGGTGACCCGAGCCACCCTGGGGTCAGGATTTGGCCAACGTTTCCTTCTCTGCACACACAGGACATTAAACCACAACTAACAACCTGTTTACAAACAGGGAATAGAGAAAGCGATTATTTGTCAATAGCAGATCCTGAAAATGTAGAACTTTTACTTATGAACCATAACTCTGTGCTGACCTCAAGCAAAACTCTCAGGGCCCCATCCCTGCAGATGGCAATGGCCAGCAAGTCCTTCTCCATTTTCATCTTATTTGAAAACAAAAACATTTTGGCAGCATTCATATACTCTCACCAACATATAGAAACAACGGTGCATTCTGCTGATGCAGAAATAAAAGACAAAAGTGTTTGTGGGCTTGTGGACAGGCAAGGGGAGAACTGACTGGCTGCTCTCCACGGCCCGTGGTTCGTGCCAACACCACGGGGCACCAGTCCCAGGACTGGCACCCATTCGTTGGGGTGCGCGGAGAGCACACGCTCCAACGCCTGTTCCTCCGGCTCCAGAGGGACTGCTGAGGCTGTTAATGCGGACTGCTGGCATGGACCTACTGCAACTCCCATCTGTGATGTGCATCCCACCCGGAGAAGGGCTTTCAGGGCATCTGGCCAGTGGAGAAGCTGAAAGTATAGAGGTAGACAGCTCTTTCCAGCCCATCAGACATCAAGGCTGTCTACATGTCCACGTGCCAAATCCTTCTTCCATCCAACTAGAGAGACTTGCAGAAAATCTTTGAACTTACTGTTCAGTGCAAGAAACACCTATTTCAGTTTCCTCCTGACTTGTATCACAGGGACCAAAGATGGTTCCACAAAAAGGGGTTTGCTGCTGACACTGTGACAGCAGTTGCGGAAAACAAACGAGAACATAAATGTTTGGGACTTACCAAAGCAGAATAAAGCCGGGACCGTAAAACTGAGGTTAACAGAGATGTGTTGGCAGATGACCTTTCTGCACCTAATTGTCCTCCCCAGCTCTGCACAGGATGGAGTTACTGTGCTTTTAAAATGTGGTGCTAGGCAACTTCAGTGCGAAACTCAATCTGC